TTGTGAAGAACTGCTTTATGAACAATACAAAGAATGAAAGTATAGTGTCGTCCCTGTTGTTAACACTGTCCCACTGTGAGACATTTAGACAAATATTTGCCTCCTATTTCCTTAGCCCCGCCTTCTAAAATGCACTCAGTTCTTCCTCACTGTGAGCCAGGTATTTGGCTAAGGACCTGATAAAAACTACACAAGATCCCAGATACCTGTCATCCCAGCACTCACACTAAGGCAGGAGAATCATGAATGCAAGGCCAGCCTGGACAACTCAGAGAAACTCTGATGGGGGGTAGGGGGTAGAAGGAAAAAAGGAAAGGAAGGAAAGGAGGAAGGAAGAAAGGAAGAAAGGGGGAGGAAGAGGGAAGCAAAAAAGGAAGGAAGAGAAGGAGGAAGGGGGTAAGGGAGGGAAGGAAGGATGACAGGAGGTGGGGGTTATACTAGATCCTAGCTGAAGGCAGTCACATGAATGCCCAGCACTATCCCATGCAGCACCAAAAAAATAAATAAATAAATAATTCAATCACATGAGCTCAATCAAACCATAGACTCTTGAGAACCAAACGCCTGTCCCTGATTTAAGTCACTTACTTTTGGAGTGATCTATTACACGCCAATGAATGACTGAAACAGTCTATGTTCTCACCCTAGTATACAACAAAGCTATATCTTTGTATTAGACACAGAAGATTCACTCAGACAAGCAGACCCTGAGACAACAGGCAAAAGAGACTGAGAATGGATAAAGAACATGGCAGAGCTGATTTTGAAAGCTTTACCTATGATGTGCAAAGGAGGGAACAAGACATGTATAGAAGTGACTGCCTATCGCTTTAATAATATCCCACAGTTATTGTGGGCTGATCAGGTCCGCAGTCTCCTGAATAAGTGTACAGCAAAGGCTAAATAAAAAGAGGCAAATAGGGGCTGGGGATTTAGGTCAGCAGCACAGAGCCTGCCTTGCAAGCGCAAGGTCATGAGTTCGATTCCTGGTATTGGAAAACAAAAAAACAAACAAACAAAGAGGCAAATGGAATGATTTCAGGGTTCCAGGAGGATCAAAGCCCTCTCACAGAGTTCAAAATTCTCTCAGGGCTAAGACCAGGACCTTCTTTGGGTGGCCCATATTTATCTCATTATCAGAAGAAGGGAGGGGAGTACTCAAGAAGGGTGGAAACACTCAAGGACTTCTCTAAGTAAGGTAGTAAATTAATCCACTGAAGAATGAGATGCCTGAGGCTATAGTCTTTATCTAGTTGAGATCTGGTTCAGGTGTCCTTGGCTGTGATCTTGTCTTATCCTTTAAGGCTTTTTGGCTTCCTCCACCACTACAGGTTCTATTAGTGACTCACAGAGGTTCACTTACTATGAGTCCACCACTTCCAGATAAGGAGCCTAGGCCTTTGACAGAGTCACAAGTGAACATGGAAAGCCAATTGGTTAATATTAAATCCTGCTCAGAACCACTTTGTAGTCATCTCCAACAACTGCCTAACCCTGCAGAGATGGTCAGTGAGGCTGAGACAAAGTAGGCCTTGAGTTCTGAGAAGGAAGAGATTGTCTCTCCATGACGACAATCCAGAAAAGCTTTCCATGGGAGCAATGCTACCATAGTTCAGATGCTGAATGTCCTCAAAGGCTCATATGTTCAAGCCAGGGTCCTCAGGGTAGCACTACTAGGGCCTTTTGGAGGTGGAGCCTGGTAGGAAGTCCTTAGGTCACTGGTGGTGTGCTCTTGAAGGGGACTGTATGATCCCAGCCCTCTCCTCACTCGTCTTTTCTCCATGGATCAGATGTAAGTGGTTTGGCTCCACTATGTGCTCCCACCATAATGTGCTGCCTTACCACAGGCCCAAAACTATAAGGCCAATTTACCATTGATCCAAAACTATGAGCCAAAGTAAACCCTTTCTCTTTACAAGCTGAAAAGGTGATTGTCCCAGTTGATGTCTAGATGTCCCCCTAAAGTCTCATGTGATCATAGGTGTGACCTTTGTAAGGTAACTGAATTATAGGAGCATTACAGCTAACTTGCTGCTAGGAAGCAGGGCTTGGTTACACCAGAAGATTATCTCCCTTCCCAGCTCCTCCCTTGGCTCTGCTTGCCCACTGCCAGGAGGTGAGCAGCTCTCCTCCGCCATTCATCTCTGCCACGCTGTTCTGCTTGCAGTCTGCCAACCACAGACTGAAATGTGAACCAAAATAAATCTCTCCTTCATTAAGTTGTGGGTGTCAGGTATTCTGTCCCAGCTACAAGGGAAGTAACTAGAACAATGGTATTTCATTTTCACAGTGGAAAACTGATGAACACACATGGCATTGGAGAATCTACAATCCACACTGCAATGTCCAAACAAATA